GGGCCCCAAAACCCTGTTCCAATCATAAAGGCCCCTATAGTACGTGAGAAGACATCCTTGTGATGTGCCGTGTTCTTGCGGTTTAGCTTGCAGATTCGATGTACCTGTTTCTGGAAAATGAGAGAGCTGACCACAGCAGCTCAACAGCGGCGATTTCCAGGACCCCAAAAGACATGGAAATAGTTCCAAGAATTATCGTTTCGCTTTTGCTTTAAATGTCCTGATCGCAGGCGGTTTTGTCGGTGGTGGTGTATTTGTCAAAGATGAGTCAGAAGGCGATCAAGTCTCCAAGCATGCGATTAGTTATACTGCTACCCTGCCATCGACGCAGCACCTTCGCCCTATCAGCTGCTGCTTATGATCGCGCTCAGACGGTTATGTGGATGTCATGGGCGGAGTTCCTGCGGCTTCTGAGAAGAAGCTGGAGGAATGGAATGTGGAATTTGGGACTGGCCGTGACAGTCTCGGAATTCATGAGCAATCGTGGCTGCCTGGTCAGCTCATGTTCTGGAGCTTTGTGAGAAGAACTGACAGTGAAGCCCGAATCCTCTACGCTTGCGTGGAGAGGGTTTGACTTCAGCGAAGTGACTGTGGGATTGTGTTGGAGGATTGCTTGTCTTGCGGTGATTTCGTGATGAGAAGCTGGATGCAAAGGATAGAAATTGGGGTTGGAGTTCATGGCTGCGTGACAACAAGTGCCTCGAAGCCGTGGCCCACACCTGAACAACAACTTGCTTGTATAGTGTTCTGACCTTTGGCTCCAACCCTGCAATGCGGGCTCGTCCTAACTAGGTGAGACGCAAAAATGCAGCACGTACCCACTGCGCCAGGAATTTCCAAAGCAGTTCCGCGCGGCCATGGAGGATGCTCTTGCAAGATCCTTCAAACTGTGATCACAACCAACATTATCATATCCAGCATCATCAGGCTAAGTTTTGACAGGGAGTGAAGCGAAGTACTATGAAGCACTGCATTGGTGTCAAGATTTTGGAAGGTTGGGGGGGGGGGGGGGGGG